GTAAGATACCAAAATCAAAGTACAAAGACTGTAAAATGCAGAAATCTACTAAGGCTGACAACAAGCCTCTACTAATTATAGTTGTGACCAGGACAAACCCTAGCTCACGAATAGTCTAAAAACTTAAATGACATAAAGTAATAGAAGACATGTGTGTCAAGGTCCTCGAATCATAAGGACTCACTAAGAGCTAAGAAACATTGATCAATTTGATGCTAGCCATGACCAGATGGAGGAATGTCAGAACCTATATTATGAGACTATATATGCACACGAGATATATGTATCAATACTTGAAATATACTGAGTATGAAGAAAGATGCATGAGTATAAAACATGATAATGTGATAAATATGAAAACATAGTAATATATGACTAAGTAAAACAGATAAGTTGAAGTCATAAGGCATAAACATGATCAATGTAATACGTAGAAATCATAACATAAACTTAAATCATAATTCTGAGAGGAAGTCATAAACTATTGTGAAAGCTATATTTTTTTTTTGTGGGAGATACCGTTAACCGACATAAATCATGTGTGGCATAATATGAAGTCCAATGTACTACTCCCACACCGAAAAGAGAGTGTCCTACTTGCTAAGGTAAGAACCATGTTTTCTTAAGCTTAGGTGGATCATTAGCTAATGTCCAATCGGGACAAGTCCTATGGGTGCACGTAGTTATGGGACAAGGGGATTGCTACTAAAGAACTTTGTCTCTTCTAACTGGTGAGCCTCTATCCCAAAGTCCACTCGGTGCTAAGTAAACTCCAAACGGGAACAAACATAATCATATTATAATCATAGTACTTGAAATAGTAAGAATCCAGTAATACCAATTCAATCATAAACTTCATATCATAAAATAGTTCCTTCCAAAATCATGATTTCATATCATACTCAGAAAACACTTATCTAAAGCATCTAAATCATGGTCATCTTTTCATTAAGAGAATACTTTAACACCGAAAAGAGAGTGTCCTACTTGCCAAGGTAAGGACCACGCTTTCTTAAGCTTAGGTGGATCCATTAGCTAATGTCCAATCGGGACAAGTCCTATAGGTGCACGCAGTTATGGGACAAGGGGATTGCTACTAAAGAACTCTGTCTCTACTAAATGGTGAGCCTCCATCCCAAAGTCCACTCGGTGCTAAGTAAACTCCAAACGGGAACAAACATAATCATATTATAATCATAATACTTGAAATAGTAAGAATCCAGTAATACCAATTCAATCATAAACTTCATATCATAAAATAGTTCCTTCCAAAATCATGATTTCATATCATACTCAGAAGACACTTATCTAAAACATCTAAATCATGATCATCATTTCATAAAGAGAATACTTCAATTGGAAGCAACATTTTCGTAAAACACATTGACACTTTCTAAAAGCATCCTTGATTTATAAATTTCATAATTCATAAGACGTGCATAAATCTCAAAACTCAGTTCATAATCATGAAGTATTCATATAGCACAGGTTTATGACAAAATCATTAAAAACATGTAATTATGATCAACTCATGCATAATAAAATCAATTATGAAGAAGAAACTCAGTTACAATTGAACCTGTAAAGAATCATGCAAACCCTAAAAATTTGGGTAGGAATCATAAAAGAGAAATATGTTTTTTTGTTCTCAGTGGATGGAAAGGGATCCATTGATGAATTTCCCATATACCTTGATGAATCCTAGCTTTGTGATTGGAAGAGGAGACTTGAAGCTTGAAGAACCCTAATTTACCTTGAGAGAATCCTTGGAGAAGAAGACTTGAGAGCTTTCGGGGTGCTGAGAGAATGACAGGGAATGAGATAATTTTGAAGTGTAAAATTAGTTATAGGGATTAGAAATAGTCTAGAAATGATGTAGTTTATGAATTAAATAGGTAGGAAAAGACCAAATAACCATAAGCTAAAATTGTCAGAGTAACTCTATGAACCCATTTATGGTCCGTACAATGGACTACAGAACGTACTGGTCATTCGTAGACAACTTTACACCGGAGACCACACTTTTTGAACTTGAACCACAAACACGCTTCTATGAGCCGTCAATCCTTCCACGCATCGTAATTCCTCTCGTACAACTCAAGTCAATAATTTCACCCAAGTATGATCCATCCTATAGGAGCCACCTTTTTATGACACGTACAAGTGTCTACATGCCATCCTATTGTTCTGTAGAAACATTTCAGAGACTTGATCAATTTTCAATTTCTAGGGCTCATTCCATGATTGGTTCATGCGGCTCGTACAACCTTCCATGGTCCATGCAAGGGCTTGTAGAACTAGTGCACCAACAACGTTTCTGTATTTTTCTATCCAACTCAAATTTCTAATTTTTGAGGTATTATAATTAGGTAAATTGATTTTAAAAGAAAAGAAACACGAATATGGTTATTAAAATTAATATTTTTATCAGAAATATAACATGATCAAAAGAATAATAATAATGATATATTTATCAAGATAGAGACATATTTGACCCATTAGGTAACAATAGAAATATTTTTGAATCGAATTATTAGCAATAAGGATATTTTTAGACCAAACTATTGATAAAAAATCCATTTTAGATCAAATTATTAGCTAAGAATATTATTTTTCAGTTTCACAAAGTTCAAAAGCATCTAATCCTTGTCCATATTTTTTGTAATGTTATTAATTAATTTGTTGAGAGGGCGGAAATTAATTTGTATGTTGCCCTCTAAGTAGAAAATAGGCAGACTAAACTAGCATGTTTGGATTGACTTATTTTAAATATTTCAAGGTATTTTTTAGTGTTTGAATATAATAATAAAATATTTTTAAGCACATATATTAAAGTCAAAAAGAAAAAAACTATATCAGTCAAAAATCATAAGTTAAAATTATAACTTATACTATTTTTTTTGGTTTCCCACGAAAAGTGCCACAAAGTCGAAAGTCCCACAGAATCGACTTTGTACCCAGGGAGATTCGAACCTGAGACCTCTACTTAAGGATGAAGGACTACTTACCATTCCACCATAATCCTTTTTGGTAATAACTTATACTCTCTCTTATTATATAAGAGGAGTTGTTGCACTTAGCAAGCACCAGCTTGTCGACATGTGTGCGCCTAGAATTGTTGTTGAATTAAAGGGATATAAGTGGGAGTTGTTGCACTTGGGAAACACCATCTCGTCGACATGTGTGCTACTTGGAATTGTCATTGAATTAGAGGGATATAAGAGGGAGTTGTTGCACTGCAAGAACTAGCATGTCGATATGTGTGCTACTTGAAATTGTCATTGAATTAGAGAGATATAAGAGAGAGTTGTTGCACTTAGCAAGAACCAACCCGTCGACATGTGTGCTACTTGTAATTTTTATTGAATTCGAGGGATATAGTATGTAGTTATTGCAATTAGCAAGCACCAACCCATCAACATGTTTGCTACTTTGAATTGTCATTGAATTTAAGGGATATAAGAGGGAGTTGTTGTACTTAGCAAGCACCAACAGTCGACATGTATGCTACTTGGAATTGTCATTGAATTAAGGGATATAAGAGAGAGTTGTTGCAATTAGCAAGAACCAATCCATCGATATGTGTTATTTGAAATTGTCATTGAATTAGAGGAATATAAGAGAGAGTTTTTGCACTTAGCAAACATCAGTGTTGACATGTGTGTTACTTGGAATTGTCATTGAATTAGGTAGAAAGATATAAGAGGGAGTTCTTGCACTTAACAAGCACCAACCCGTTGACATGTGTGCTACTTGAAATTGTCATTGAATTTAAATGGATATATGAGAGAGTTGTTGCACTTAGCAAGCACCAGCATGCCAACATGTGTACTTGAAATTGTCATTGAATTAAAGGGATTTAAGATGAGGGTTTTGTCACTTAGCAAGCTCCAGCACGTCGACGTGTGTGCTACTTGAAATTGTCATTGAATTTAGATGGATATGAGAGAGATAGTTGTTGCACTTAACAAGCACTAGCTCGTCAACATGTGTGCTACTTAGAATTTTCATTGAATTAGAGGATATAAGATGGGGTTGTTGCACTTAGAAGAACCAGTCCATCGATGTGTGTGCTACTTGAAATTGTTATTGAATTAAAGGTATTTTTTTTTCATTTCAAGCTCTATACTGTATAGCTAAATGTTGTGATGGCGTTGTACTAATTGTTACATTATTTGTACTTTCTCCCTTATGGACAAAAATATGCAACATATGTGGTTTCCTCCTGCTTATACCTGGCCCCACCTGCATTCATGTCACACGTGATTGACAACAAATGTAGGCATGACATGTAGCCACCTATTTCCACCACGTCAGTTGTAGATAAATTAACCATATCATATCCAACTCTCTATTTGACTTTACCATTTAATTACTTCAATTTCAATTAAGTCAAATTAGTGTTTACCTTGTCCATTTTACATGTTCATTATTTCAGAAGTATATTTTTATGTTTTATTTTAATTTAATTAGTATATAATTTATCCAAACTTATATAACCTATTTTAGCTATAACTTTTTATTTTTAATTTATATCCTTTAATTATAGCTTTATTACTTCAAATGTCCTTAATATTTGTGTAAATTTTATATCTATTTTGACTAAAAAAATCAACGACCGGTGAAGAAAAATACTTTAATTATGAATATTCCAATGAGTCTCTTCACATTAGATTTGTGAGGAAAAAGAATGAGATGATTTTTAAAATAGAATTTTAAAATCATTTAATTATTCAGTTAAAGTTCATCAATATTAATACTTATTATCAAAAATATATATAATTTTATATTTTTCACTAAATAAATGATTTAAAATAATTTAATTAACACCATTTAAACAATAAATTTATCGATAACTATTGGCCCGTGACTGCAGGGTTCTTCATAACTAGTTTTTTTTTATTAATAAGGAGTAATTTATTTTTATTTAATATTTTGGTTTTGATGTATATATAATATATAATAATTAATAAAAGAGAAAAGAGGACTTCTACAGAGAGAGTGAGAAAACAAAAGGCTGTTGTTGGGATCCCATCTTCCTTAACTTCCAATCCCAGCTTCCTTTTCTTCCTCCACCCACCACCACCACCACCGATACCGCCACGCGCCGCCGTTGACGATCCAAATTCCCACCGTATACTTTTCCCACATATATCAATTATGTCGATCAACATGAAAACTCTAACCCAAGCCTTCGCCAAAGCCTCAGCTAAAGCCTCAGCGGTGATCGAGAAAACGGTTCAAACCACCGTACAAGAAGTTTCTGGTTTACCCAGAGCTTTACAAGACTACGATCTCTTAGATCAGATCGGGTCAGCCGGACCGGGCCTAGCGTGGAAGTTGTACTCGGCCAAGGCCCGAGATGGCCATGCCGTGTACCCAAACGTTTGTGTTTGGCTTCTTGATAAGCGAGCTCTTTCCGAGGCACGACAACGAGCAGGGCTATCCAAAACTGCTGAAGACTCCTTTTTTGACATCATTCGGGCTGATGCCGCCCGGCTGGTGAGGTTGAGACATCCTGGTGTTGTTCATGTAGTGCAGGCACTTGATGAGAGTAAAAATGGTATGGCTATGGTTACAGAACCCTTGTTCGCTTCGGCTGCTAATGCTTTGGGGGATTTGGAGAATATTGAGAAAGTTCCTAAGGAGCTTAAAGGAATGGTAATCACGTTATTCTGACTGTCTTTTGGATAATTGTGTAATTAACTGCATATTTCTTTGAATTTTTCATGGCAAGTTTGGATTTTAATAGTGATTGTGATGATTTGAGGTGGTTTAAGTGTGTCATTTTATTTTTGAGGTAATTGTGGTTTTATCACTAGAAAAGAAGGAAAAAAAAGGGAAGAGAGAAATTAGATAGTAATTAGTATATTATCGTGTTGTGGCGGTGTGATCTAATTAACGTTTTGTGTCATTTCCTTAGTTGATACTTCACTTTTACTTATTTAGATAGTTCACTTTGGGTTTATGGGTGCCATTTACTAACTTATGTAGTAGATGTAAGGTTGACTCTGACAGCTACCGCCTACTAGGGATGGTTTGTATTAGACTATCATAAATAGTTAGTTGTAAAATTCACTGCCAAGGCTATTAGGGACTCATTGTATTAGACCAAAAGGTTTTCCTTGCTCTTTTAAGGTCCATAAATTTTTAGTTTTGGCTATCCGATCTTTCTTGGCAAGTTTGAAGTTTTTTTGAGTTTTGTTGATCTTTACATGGGTTTTTGAGTTACATTGTGGTTTTATCACAGAAAGAAAGAAAAAAGTGAAAAGAACAAGTGGGTTAGTAGTATAGATTTTCGAGTTGCAATAATGTGATGATAACAACTATCTCTCAACCACACCCAAGGGCGCGACCTAATGGTCAATGAAGTGGTGAGGTCTCAGGTCTAAATGCGATTTCTTCCCATTTGTCCTAGCTTTGATGGACAGAGTTACCTGGTATCTGTTGCGGGTGAGAAGTAGCAGGTATCCTATGGAATTAGTCAAGGTGCGCATAAGCGGATCCAGACACCACTCTTATAAATAAAAAGAAGAAGCTCTCTCAACTACTTTGGGATTGATGTGTAGTTAATTGAGCGAATAAATATGATGGTAACTCGGTTTCATTTCCTTAGTAACTGATTAAAAAAAGCTGGATTATTTGAGTGCCTAGACTGATACACCAATCAAGACCAGTACTGTCAAAAAAAGTACTCCCTCTGTTCCAATTTATATGATACACTTTCCTGTTTAGTCAGTCCCATCAGGAATGACACATTTAAATATTTAATGACACTATCGGTATTTTACCAATGTTGGGTCCCATTTATTTGACAAAAAGTCCATAAAACTGTACTTCTCTATGGAAAATTCTTTACTTTAAGGGTAGTTTTGGAACATTGCAAGTTCTTCCATAAATTGAGATGGAGGGAGTAGCAAAAATCACAAGAGAAAGCAAATTTCACACAAAGTTGGGAAATAGTTTGCACAGTTCAACAAGTTCTTACTCTACTACTACATGGCCCAATCATACTAAAAAGAAGAGTTTGATCCTAGCTCAGAAGGAACTCTAGCTATGTGTCATTTTCATAGTAGATGTTATACATTCTTTTAGGTTTATGTGTGCAATATACAAACTTTACTTTAGATGTAGATTGACTCCGGCCATACGGGACTATTATCATTGGACAAAATTTTTAGATTTACTAACTCAAGATGTCAGATTGACTCTGAAAGCTAGAGGTGGTTTGTATTAGACCAAAAGGGATGTTTAAGTAGTTGATTGGAAGATCTACTTTCAAAGCTGCTAGAAAAAAAAGTTACGAGGGATGGGTTGTATCAGACAAAAGATTTTCCTTGCTTGTCTGATGTCATTAAAATTTTGATTTTGGCTTTTGCGGCACATATGTTCTGTCTAGCTGGGTAACAACGTTTGCATCACTGCTTCTCTTTTAAAAGAATCTCACTATATAGAGCTAGAATGTGGTCATAGGTTGTAATTGCTTGGAGAGATTTAGTGGAGAGAAGGTTTCAATTTAGCTTTAAGGAATTTATCTTAGTGGTGCTTGTAACAGTGTCCTTGTCATCAGTATCTATAAAGAACACGTATTGTCATGAGCACATGATACACGTCTTCATCCTGTGCATATGGTTATCACAATTGTATGTGATGATTCCAGATGTTGGAGTCAACATTGATGTGGAGATTCCTCTTCACCTATCACCACAGGTCATTGTCATCTCCTATGGACAAAGAAGTTCTTGTTGGTGGCAAAATGGGAAAGACACAATTTGGACAAAGAAGTTCTTGTTGGTTGCAAAATGGGAAAGACACAATTTAAGGAGTATTTGAGTTTTTGGGAGACTTATGTCTCACTGTAGGTATAAGCATGTAATTTTGAGAACACCTAATTTTGCCTCAAAAGACAAATTATTAGTTGTGGAATGAATTGGCCTGAATAGAGCACAAGAATATTGAAGGATTCATATAATTGGCATTGATTAGCTTGGGATTGAGTATATATGATGTGTATATATTGACTTTGTTATATACATTGGATTTGGATCACACTGTAAAATACTAAACAAAGAAAAAATATGTGAGGATGCTATAGTCAGAGGTGGAGCCAAAGGTTTGTGGGTTCTAAATTTTAAGAAAAGGCAGTGAACTCAAGCTAATATGTAATAACCAAAACGAACTAACAAATAAATTACCAATATTTAATATACATGTAAACAAATGATGAACTAAACACTATATAGTATATAAACACTATCATTACAAAATTGAACGAATATCGATCATATAAACTTTTGCTAAAGATCTTGATAATCACCAAAATTACAAATTGCACTTCGAATTGTATGTTTCACTGTGATTATCTTATAATTCGTTATGATTTTTCTAGGTTCAATTTTTTTTTTTTAAAGTCACAAAATTATCACTTGTCTGCAAATTATCACAATGATGAAATCACAACTCACAAAATGAGTCATAAAGCTTGTTGAAAGAAAAGCACAAAGGAAGCTTCTCAAACACCTAATGTGCATTATGCATACTAAATAAATTGATAGAAAAATAATGGAGGAGTGGAGTCTCTCATATAAACATATGCAATAGTAAGTAGTAGAGTTACTTCTTAGTCTAGTCCAATTAATTATTTTTACCCTTAACACAAACACATTAAACAAAAACGAAAATACTTGTAGAACCAAGAATATGTCAGTATTGAAACTTCTTTAATTGTACATAATCTTAAAGTAATTTATTTACAAAATATATCCTTAAGATTGTATATGGTATAGTACATATTTTTGTCGGGGATTTTGGCGATAAAATTTTAGAAGTAAAACAGGAAAAATTGACTATAAATGATCAAAATATGAGACATTCATAGAATCAATGATTAGAAATCAACTTTTCATTAAATTACTACACATTATAGTAGGCAAATAAATTAAAAAATAATAAGAGGAAGAGAGGAGAAAAGAAAATATGTATAGGAAAAAATTGAGGCAGGTGAGGTTCGATCCCATATTTCACAAAGTTGAGGACTTTGATTGCCTGTCAATTACCACCGAACCAATACTTCTGTTTGTTTGTGGGTTTACACCTAAACAACTATGGATATTTACTGATTTTTCTAGTACAAATACCAAGTCTATACAAAAGCTATTGGGTTCGTCCGAACCCCCACGTAAAACTTTAGCTCTTCCCCTAGCTATAGTTGCTCTTTTTTAAAGTAAAAGAGGTATTGTATTGACATTGGGAAACCAATGGGGAAGCCAGCTCTGTTGAAACAAAAAAGTGTATACCTGTTTGGCATCAGCTATGCCTAGAATCTAGAACATCTCGTGTGGAGCTGGAAATGCGGAGCTGGACTGGCTACGGAGCATAGAGCAGGAAAATGTCTCCAGTTGTCATGTGAACCTGATAGAAGGAAAGGAACCTTAGAGCTTTTGAAGGCCCATAAATTTAAAAAGAAGAAGAAGAAAAAGGACACATATCACTCCTGCGTGTATTGATGAGGATAGGGTTTCTTGAGAATTATAGATTTGTAGAACTTTCCTTGTTTATCTTTCGTATTCTGGGATCACCTTTTGCTAGTAAAATTTCATTTGCTTATCAAAAGAAAAAGAGTATAGTTAAGGGATTGTCAACTCTGGAAGATATGAAAAAAATAGTTGTTAGAAGTTCTCTAACATACTGGTAGTATACAAAATAATAAACCATGTTTTAGGTTCTCACAACAAGTGTAATCTCACAAAGTGGATTCAGAGCCTGCATTTTAGGCTCTCACCCCATCAAAAATATTTTTGCGGCTCTCAATAACTCCGCTATATATAAAACCAAATATTTCTTAACTACCTGGAAAGGGTGATAAAACAAGTAATTGGTGATTGAGTAGATGGAGTCTTGCAGCAACTCCCTTATGTTTAGAAGCCTAAGCTTCTGATAGGTGACTGTATTAATCATTTCATGTCCTTCATTCACGCCATCTGTGAGGATTGTGTGAGTGTACATACTTGAGTTTTACTTGCAAATTTAGATTTTTAAGGAACACTGAATTTGGTACGTTTGTGTAATAAAAGATGCAAATATCACCTTGTGTCTCTTGTGAACTGTGATTTAGCACTCGGTCATACTGGGTACTTTCCTGATGCCATCTTGCTTCATGCAGGAAATGGGGTTGCTTGAGGTTAAACATGGTTTGCTCCAAATTGCAGAAACCTTGGATTTCCTCCACAGCAATGCTCGTCTAATTCATCGGTCTATATCACCTGAGGTATTTTTTTCTCATTTTCTAACTATTTATGTCATTACCTTGGTGTGGGTAATGCATTGCTATCATGCATATTATTGATATGAAACCTTCCATTTCTCAACTGAATATACATTTAAAGTACAAATATAGAGATGACCAAGGTCGTGAGATACTGTTGCCAAATATATCCTATATCGGTAGCGAAGTGTTTCTTTTGTTGTTCGGTGCACTAGAAGAGGAGGAAAGAAGCTCTTTCTAGAGCTTGTATACTATTCACAACTCATTTCGTATTGTCCCTACTGTGAAATGTTAATTGTTCATTATTATGTTCTCCTATTTGTCCCTTTTCCTCTTAACACTATGTTATCATATCTAATTGTTAAGGTATTATTCTCAATCATATTTCTAGTGATTAAGTGTGGCCTCTTGGTTTAGGAAAGAAATACAGCAAGGTTATATTATGTTAGTTAAATGCTATGGTAGGTCATGTAGCTAAAGATTACCTGGCAGCAGTGTTGTGAAAGCAGTAAGCGAGGCGAGACTTAGCAGGTAGCGCTTCTAGGGTGTGAGGCGACATGACTTCAATGAAGCGGTCGCTTCTTGGACAGATGCGTGAAGCATAGGGATGGCAATGGTGCGGGTGTGGTGCGGGGCAAACCCGCATAAACCCGCAATGACTTTACTCCGCCCCACATAGCATAATTTTTTATTTTTCCCCGCCCCACCCCGCCCCGCATATACCCGCCCCGCAAAACTTCAACATAACAGTACACGTGCTTAATTTTGACACTTAACTTAAGTAAAACAATGCTGTAATTTATTAAGTTTTTCATACACTTTAGTTTCTCATTTAAGAATCTGCTACATTACTTTCTAACACCATGACTATGAAGGTAAATAATAAAATATATAGCCTAGTCAGCATACAAATTAATTAGAATCAGAATTCATCACAAGTGATGCATCGTTTTACTTGATAAAATATTGTATAAATACTAGAGACAAAAGATAGGCATAATAAACTTAGAAATTCAGTGTCAACTGTCAACTGATTTGCATCTGCTATTCGCCCAATTTAGTTTAACTTCAAAAGAAAAATAAACCCTAACCCGTGCCAGCCCTGCCCCACATGGTTTCCTAAAAAAATATTTTGTACCCGCCCCGCTTTGCCCCACCCCCGCAAAACATTAACCCGCACTGCCCTGCAAACACTATAACCCGCCCCGCTTTGCAACCGCCCCTCCCCGTTGCCATCCCTAGTGAAGCAGATGAAGTGATTGCTTCATATGTGTTTTTAAAAAGAGTCTATTTTCTTGGAAGAAAAAAGAAAGTAGGGGGCCTATTTTTTTTTTTCTCTTAAGAAAAGGAACTTTTAGATTAGTTTGCTGTGAAAGGAAATTTCATCTGCTTCCATTCCATCACTGGTAGGGGTTAGAAATTTGCTCCAGGTAATTTGTTTTCTTTCTCCTTCTTCCTTCTCTTTTCTGCTGGCAGCTGCGTTTCTGGCTCCTCCTCCTTCTCGCTGTCCAATTTCGTTCGCCCTAGCTTCTAGGGTTTCTTGTTCCCATCGTTCTTTGTTCTAAAACTATTTTTGTTTTGTTACTTTCTCTGTTTTTCTTTTTTCAATTCTGTTAGTTTTGTTTTATTTGAAGCCAGCTTATAATTTGAAAGACTTGCTTATATACATATATAGACACACATATATTTGACTTCTTACTTTAAGTTTTTAAATTGAAAGATTTACTTATATATATTTATTTCTGCTGAGTTCTTGTTTATTTGGTTATTCTATTTATTTGTGCAAGATTTATGTTCATATATTTTTAAAATTGCTTCATTTCGATGAAGTGAGTGCTACTAAGCTTCTCATTTCTTGCTTAAAGCGGTAGGGGCCCTTGTCACCTTTTTCCACTTCTCGTTTTAAAAAACACAGTCAGACAGGATCTGGCGGGGGAAGTGGGGGATTGGGTAGAATTAATTGGAAATGTATAAGTTTTTGTGTAAAAAAAGGATCTTCCTGCACTCCAGTACAACCTATGTACTGTTCTGCAGAAATAGAAACAATTACCACTTTCAAAAAAAATAATTCTACAGCTCAGTAATTTTTTTGGTTCTGGGCTTGATCATCTATACAATGTTACCTTAATAAAAAAAACACAGTCAGACAGAGCTTGTGTTGCACCCAAGGTGTGGCCTTAGTGGTCAATGAGTTGGGTATAAATTTTGGAGACGAGGTTCAAATTCTAGTAGACACAAAAAACACTGATATTTTTCCATTTGCCTAAGTAGCCTTGGTAGGCAGTGACCCGATATTTGTGCTAGTGGGAGGTAGTAGGTGCTGATGGAATAGTCAAGGGCGCGCCAGCTAGCACACACACCACTGTTATAACAAAAAGAAAATAGAGGTTGTGTTGTGCATTCAAAAAAGGGAAATTTATGTTTGAAGAAGTAAATTGTTTTACTAGCATAAGGGTTAAGAGTAATGGTAGACTTTGTTTTGCTTTTTTTGAGAAATAAACAATGGTGCTGATGACTGCAAGGTTGGCCATTTAAGATGTTTTGGAGGCTAATGGAGTCTATTAGGGATTTCTTGCAGAGTTATGTGGAGGATTACCATAAATGTTATGCTAGTACCATTCTTGTATTCCGCCAGTTTCCTTTTTTGTGATACACTTTCTTTTTTGGTCTGCTCCAAAAGTGACCTTTTTACATTTAGAAAATAATTGAAACTTTAAACTTTTCATTTTACCCTTAATGAGATGATTTGTGTTACACAAATGTGTATGACTTGTTTTAGACCACAAATCCTTATTTCCTTTTTAAACTCTCTATGCAGTCAAACACCGTCACATAAAATGAGATGAAGGGTCTTCTAGAGCAGTATAATAATCTAATTCCCTTATTTAATCGTCCTTGGGGGGAGAATGGGTTCTTGCATATATAACTGCAAGTTTGTCAAATGAAATGACTTTTTTTCTTCTTGTTGTGATAAGTCTTGCTTTTTGAAACTGGTAACTACTGTACAATAATAAATATATATAGCAAAACAATACATTAGTTGTACTGAAACCATATTGATGCATGTACTCAAGGCACTAAACTTATCTAACTTTATATTGAATCTAGGACATCAATAATAGACTTAGTGTCATTTAAATATATCTGTTTACACCAAAAACACAGGAGCATGGGAGACAATTCAATTTGATTATTTGCATACAATTCTCTGTACCCTCAAAGCATCTTGAATTTCTTTTCTTTGTTCCAAATTGTCCACCAGATGCAAGCAGGGACCTTTTCCCTTCTATTCCTGTTATTTGGCAGTGTTCCACCTTCCTCCCAACTCTGTAAAGCTTCTGTGATCTTCCCAGGCATAATGAAAATTCTCCATAGTTGTTCTGTCACCCTGCAATGTAGGAATAGATGGTTAACTGTCTCTGCTTTAACTCCACACAAAAAGCATCTGGAGCACATTGTGATCTTTCTTCTCATTAAATTGTCCTGAGTGAGGACAATTTCCTTCGCCAAAATCCACACAAAATGAGCTACTTTGTGTGAGATATTAGTCTCCTAATATGCTTCCAAAGCCAAATATCGATCTGCTGATTAGACTGGTTCATCTGCGTTCACTTTGAAAGGACCACTGTTGTTACCTTGCCACCCCAATACATCTTCCCCTGCCTGGAACCCACTGAATTGTTCAAGAATGCTGTAAAATTTTGTACCCTGTCCATCTCTCAGTCATTGAGTTGTCTTCTAAATATAAGATCCCATCCTTGAGGTGTCCACATTTCTGCTAGTTTCCTCTGTTGGTGAATAACCAGATTGAAAATCTTTGGATATTGCTTTTTCTGATTTCTATTTCATGCCAGTTGTCCTCCCAGAAGCTAGTTTTGTTACCGTCATGGACTTTAATCTTTGTATTGCTCTTTAGTTCACTCCAAATGCCCTAATAGATCTCCATAAGCTAACCCCATATGGTGTAGTAACTTCTTTAGTCATCCATTTGTTTTCCTCATATTTTGCATTTATGACTTTACCCCATAAAACCTAACTTACATTTGAAAGTGCCATTTAATTTTCAGTACTTTGTTGTGAATGTTCAGGTTCCTGTATCCTAGTCCCCCATATTTCTTTCCAATAGTAAGAGTTTTCCATGTGACTAAATGGTACCCTCCCTTTTCTTCGTTACCCTACCACAAAAATTTCTCCTATACTGTACAACCTTTTGATGACCCCTAATGGAATTGAGAACAAAGACATCATGTATGTAGGAAGAGCATCTAAAACTAAGTTAATTTGTGTCGATCTACCAATCAAAGATAAGTAATGTGTCTTCATCTGGCCAATTTCTTCTCACATTTTTCAATGACACTATCCCATATTCCTTTGGAAGTAGATTTAGCTCCCAAAGGCAATCATAGGTAAATAGTTGGTGAAACACCAACTTTTCCACCTTAATTTCCCCAAAGTGTTCCATCTTTTGGACTTTGTTAATAGTAAATAGAAGACTTTTCTGCTAATTAAGGCGTAGACTAGATACTCCTTCAAACACGACTAGCATCACCCATAAGTACCTCAATTGGTCTTCTTTTGCATCACAAAAAACAGGGTGTCATCAACATACTGAAGATGTCACTTTCGTACTACCCCTACAACTTTTAGTCATTACGAAACCTTGAATCCACCCATTTTGATAGGAAGTGTCCTTATGCCTCATTTATTTTCATTAAGAGTAAGACATTTGAATGTGAATGAATATCAAAATGATTAAGATGTTGTCTCTAGATATGAACACCAAATGATTAAGATTGTTTGTTTTTCAACATTTGAATGCGCATAATTTTCTTATTTGTAAACATAGTAAATATACAAATCAAATAAAAAAAGTAGTTAAATATTAAAAAATATAAATTTTGATAAAATAATATCATTATTTGATTAAAAAATATGAAACATTTCTGTTTGCTAGTAATGGTGGATATGTTTTGTGGTGGTAGTGGTGGTTGGTGATGTAGTGACTGGTATGATGGTGGCGGTTGGCAGTGGTGGTGGTGCCTATGATGGTGAAGTTGGTTATTGTTAGTAGTTGTTGGTGTTGATGGTGGTGGCTTAAGTATATGTTGTGGTTGACGATGTGTTGGTGGTAGTTGGCGGTAGTGCTGGTTGATGGTGGAGGTGGTTGTAGTAGGAATCGGTTGAAGTGATGGTAGTGGCTGATAGTCATGGTGACGGTGGTGGCGAAGGTGACGGTGGTGGCGATAGTGGATATAATTATAATAATGGAGGTGGAAGAATGAAGGTGGTAGTGATTGACGTTGGTGGTTGGCAGTGGTGGTGATTGTGAAGACAGAGGTGGTTGATGATTGGCGTCGACAATGGTGGTGGTGATTGTGATGACAAAGGTGTTAGTGGTGGTGGGCTGGTAATTGTGGATACAATGGTGGTGAAAATTATCCACACAAATATCTCTTAATGATATTAAGATTTTGTTCAAGATATTAATGATCAAGACCTATTCCGACCAAATAAGTCCTTAAATCTTAATGTAAACAAATGTACTTAATGACTTAAGGTCTGAACCATTCAAATAGTGCAAACAAATGAGTCCTTAATATGCTTTGTAATCTTCCAATAGCAAGAACGGGAAGCTTCTTGGCACAAATTTTAGATTGTTATGGTTTAGATGTCACGGTCATGTCTTTCTACACCTGGAAAATGACAGGTCATTACTCACTTGTGTTATAAAAAAAATGTTTCTTTTAAGGAAAACAAGTTGGAATTTATACCTTGTGTTGGGATGACAAATTGAAAATTGATTTTCCATAGCTAATTACTTTTGCAGACTATTCTCATCACTTCAAATGGAGCTTGGAAACTTGGTGGTTTTGGTTTTACCATATCAGTGGATCAAGCAGCTGATTTATCCAACATGCAGGCTTTCCATTATGCTGTGAGTAAATAATTGCTTGGAATTTTAAATGTTGCCATTCTCAAAAAAATAATTCTAGGATTTGGGAGTTCATGTTTTATTTGACTTGAACTTACTATGCTTCATCAAGTAAAACAAAACTTACTGTTTGACATGGCTTGTATTTTTCCATGGATTCATTATTTCCGTTATTTCCTTTTTAATACTGCTTTTTAATGTTATTTACCTTGAGCCGAGGGTCTATCGGAAACAACCTCTCTACCTCAAAGGTAGAGGTAAGGTCAGCGTGCACTCTATCCTCTCCATACCCCACTTGGTGGGGTTATATTGGGTATGTTGTTGAACTTACTGTGCTTTTGGAGAACCTGCTTTTCTTAGTTCACATGTTAAAATTCCTCTGTATTGCAAAACTTACCATCAATGCAGCTGCGAACACGGTGATGACACTATCTATACTGTTAACTACTCCTAAGAGGTTGTTTATGGAATTCTCTATGAACTGACTATGATGCTCGTGGTGTTCAGAAAAAAAAGCTGGGGATTTTTGAAGTTAAATGTGAACGTGGGGTGGGTTAGTACGTAGTTCATTTTCTTTCCAGTTGTGTTATGTTTGTCAAGTGCTGATGTGTTCTTTTCTATGTACATTGTAAAGCCTAGACCTCAAATATGACAAGAAGATTTTTCAAACATCATGGCATGCTATCATGTCTCTCATCATAGTACATATGGGCCACTATTTTGTTGTGCTTTGATCAAGTTGATATGGAAATTTCTGTTTTTACCTTGTTTTTAAGGAAACAAATATTGTTTGAAATGCAGTAACTTAGAGCTTAGTAGGCATTTGGCCATAGGATTTGGGACCCCAATTTCAAGTTATGGTTTGAAATTAGTGTTTGTTTATGAAATCTGCACAAAAATTGAACTTCAATTTCAAATTAGATTCTCCAAAATGTAGGATTTCAAATTGTGATTTCAAAAATCCGTCTACGCCCTTTGGACCAATCACAACCTACTAAACTCGGTGGATAATGGGTCCTGCCCCTCTACCCTTCTCCACTTAAATACCAGGTTTCGCTTTGCGTGGTGTGGGGCTTGAACCTGCGACCTAAGCCACAAATCCTCCACGTTTTGCCACTCGAGCTAGGCCTTGGGGGCACCCATAAATTTATATTTTGTAAAAAAAAAGCGCATTATTTTAAATTTTGCAAAAGAATAGACTCATGCTCGATGTGAAGATTGTTTGTACCATGTGAATAGTTATATTATAGAATAGGCTTAAGTCATCAGCGGCCCCTTAAAGTTGTCCGCATAATTCACTTAGACACCTCAACTAAGACTAGTACCTATTGAACACTTTTATCAATATAAAAATTGTTCCTATTAGACATTTTTTGATAATCAGCAAAATATATGAAGAGTGTGTGATACACTTGCGGTGACATGGCAAAACGGCTAATTAAAAAATAACATGTGGCACTGGGCCCCGAAATTATAAAAAAAAAAATTTATTTAAAATTATTTCAAACACTTTTTATATCTAATTTTTTTAAAAAGAAAAAGAAAAAAATGAAAATGTCAACCTATTCTACCCAACCCCACCCCTACCCACCCCCCTTTCATCTTCATCTTCTTCCCAAAACACATTCTTTCTCAAATAACAAAACCTAATTCTTTTCAAATAACTTGAAGATGAACTTTTAAAAAATATATATATACATTTTCATACTAAGAGTGAAGAAGAAAGAAAATTTTGCCGACGGTTATTCATTTCTACATCGATGACAAAATGAAATTGATAGCTCAAAAATTAATTCTTTCAATTATTTGAATATCATTTTTGATAAATTTAATGGGTAATTATGTATGAATTTGAGTAAAAATCTTTGTTCGAAAATTTTGATAAACAAATATCAGCTAACTTTTTTTATATATAAAAATCATTTATCTTCTTTCTTCTTCTTCATATTTGTTCCTTATTTTTATGAGATTTGAAATAAATCATACTTCTTTCAAATCTGAAATCTTCATAGTTGATTTTCATTTATCTTCATATTTGAAAGAAATAATATTAATTTTTTATAAAAAAAGAAAGAAAAACAATGTTGGAGCTAAAATAAAGAATGTTTTGCAAACTAAAGTATGAAGAAGATGATAGGTAGGGAGTGGGGTATTTTTCTTTTTTTGAAAAAAGTGTAAATGAAAGAAGAAAAATGTTTTTAATTTAATTATAATGCCAAGTGTCAATAAAAGAAGAAAAAATGTAAAAAAAATTCAAAAAGACACTATTTTGAATCTTTTCACGCGCTTCAGGGAAGTGCAAAACACATTTTTTGCGTACCAGCATTTTGTGTTTAATAGGTACATGTTTTGAACAAATTAGGTGCTCAATAGGTACAAGTCTTAGTTGAGGTGTCTAAGTGAATTATGCGGATAACTTTAAGGGGCGGTCGATGACTTAAGCCTAAAGAATAATTAGTTACTACTATTGTTGACTAGTGGATCTTTGTAAAATTATGTGTATTTGAAAGTTTGTATAACATGTAATCACAAGTATTTAATTATAAAAGTAACATGGAGATGTGCGGTTTATTAGTGTAGCATTTTAGGGTATTATGATACCTTGTTTATGAACTATGGTTTACTCATTTGGTAAAATCGTATAAGAGTTGGGTAAGTTTTATTAATTTTCACAAATTGTGGGGCTTTTATGTTTATGAGAAAAAAATATAACTTAATAAATCCAAATTGCATGTCCAAACAAAATTTCAACTTCAAATCAACATGATTTGAAATCACTGAGTTGAATCATGTCCAAACGGGCCCTTAATGCTGGTGTAGGTCTCTTTAAAAATTATATGTGCTTATTGTGCGACTGTGCTAGAAGGTCCATGTTTTTTATATTTTTGATAATGATAATGTTGTTTCTTAATCTTTGGCTGAAGCTGCAATTCGGTCCCTATTGTTTCCATTTCATGCTTGAGATATAATATTTGTGCTTTAATGGGTCTCAGTGTTGGTGGTAGTCAAATCCATCATATCTCATATGCTCTAATTTGGTCATGGTCATAGTCATGTGTAAACACTGTTTCTTCCGAATATGAAGAAAGCGTTGCTTCAATTAATCAGGCCAAGCCCCATTGCATGTGTGCTTTACAGAAGAGCTCCTTATATGCAGCCGCGTGCTGAATTTTATAGCAGACTCAACTCGTTCTATTGAGAAGGGATAAGGTTACCTGATTGTATGCTGCCACCTCATTATGAAAAGCTCCTTATTTGTAGCAGGTGCTGGATTCTATAGCAGATTCAGCTTGTTCTATTGAAAAAGGAGTAGGTTATGATTAGATCTAGGGTCTAGGGAAGGGTCATACTTCGATTGAGAGGGAGGCAGAGGTGTTGATAGTTGGAAAGGGAAAAGGGGAAGTGTTTGACAACTGGACTGTCTAGGAGGAATCAGTTGGTCGAGGAAGTAAGGCAGTGTAACAAGGATAGTTGAGGTAGAAGGGGGAAGGGTTTACAATAGGCTGGCTTGGGAAGAAAGGTCCAGGGGGGGGACTTATTTCGAAGGTTAGGAAGGAAGAAGTTTTTAAAACTGTGGCTATTGATGAAGAATGTTGCTAGGAGGAGGGGTTGGAAACAAGGAGGTTGTGTTGCGAGAGGCGTGGTAGTTGTCCTGGAAATAAGAGATGCTTGTGGTGGGTGGGACGGAGTAGGTCTGACCTTAGGTGTGCTCACAGTTTGGTGAAAAACCAAACCAAACCGATTAAGAAAACCCGTCATTTAGTTTGGTTTGGTTTTAAATTAAAAATCTGACAATAATTGGTTTGGTTTTGGTTCTAGTAAAAGAATCGAAAAAATAACCATGCCAAAACCGATACCTATATACATAAATTTTATAATTATTTGAATATATGATATTAGTTTTTCAAAAATAATCATTAATAGTTTATACCTTTCAGTCATTAATTTGGTTTTAGTCTACTTATTTCACATGCACTTATCACTTTAAAATCCCATTTCTTAAAAAATATGCCCAAACCCAATAATCTACGTCTAATTGTATATATGTGGTCTGGTATATTGCCAGATATGCCAGTTTTTAATTTTCTTCGTGAAGATATCTCTTCAATGACTTGCCCCTTTGATTTCTGAAGTTGATAATTCTATTTAAAGTTTTATATTACTTTTGTGGATGTTAGACATGTGAAGTGGAGGAACCTTTACAATTATGCAACTTAAACATTTTAAAGCTTTGAAATATTGTTGTAAAATAATTGTAGATATAGATACATTCATCTTGTGATAGTAGAGAAATTTGTCGATTCTTAATGTTCATTTGAAATAATTATCTCATGTCTCTGTTGTTTTACTATTGTCAATTTATCATTAGCTAGTTATAAACCGAAAAACCGAACCGAATCGCCAAGAACCAATCCGATGGTTTTTATTTTATTTTATTTGGTTTTACAAATTTAAAAATTGACTAAATTGGTTTCGTTTTGGTTATAATCAAAGAACGATCCAAACCGAACCATGAACACTCCAATCTGACCCTTGCAAATACTGCGTCACTTTTCTTGCATAGCTTTTATTTTAAAATTCTCTTTGCACTCTTTTCTATTTTTATTGGTAAGTTACATGATACATCTCCTTTTAAGTCCTTTCTTTCGTTGCTTTCTCTCTGACTTTTCATTTCTACTTTTTTACTTTTGTTGTTATTACGTTCTTTTTCCCATTGAGTAAAAAGTTTTTGGCCAAAAACATTTTCACCTATTTTTCCTTCCAAACACATCCTAAATACTTTACTGGCTTAGCATTATTTGCTGTATTAAGCTTCTGTATATCAGTGGTCTTTGTGCTGCTTTATAGAAATAAATTTATCTTATACACAAAAAAGAAGGTTTGATTGGGCCACTGAATGCTCTGAGAACCATTTAATAAGGTCTACGTACATCTTACCCTCCCCAGACTACACTGGGTATGTTGTTGAGGATGAAAGTGGCTCAAACAGAAACAGTGGGAATGAAATTGCATATCGGTCAAATGTAGTGGACCCATAAAGAAAATTCTTGCTATTATTTATGTAGTATGAAAATACTGAAATGGCCAGTTAAGTTAAAAGTTACAAGTCATTATGGCTTCACTCGTTAATTGTGTATGAGACAGAGGGATCCTCTGACGTGGCATCCTGTTATTTGGCTTTTCTTCTAAGTAGGACATGCATTTTTTGGACTCTGCAAATACATGAATGGAGTTTATCAAAATACAATATGAAATGATTTTTTTTCACAAATTCTGGAGTTCTGCAACTGCGGTCTCTCTCTGTCTTTTCTCATGTCACTTGTTTTCACTTCGCTCACTGATGTTCTTTGTTCCTTTTTAACGTTATTGCTTATAAACAGAACATATATGGCTTTGATAAGTCGAGACATTTCATTCAGTTCACACCATAATGGTGTCAAAGCTATTTATTAAATGATTGAGTGTCTCAACTACCATATTCTATCAAATATTCCCATCATGTGTGCACACTGGTATTCCTTATTCGCACCAAAAGAATATTATAAAATATATTTTTTCTGATACATAATGTGCATGACATAAGCTTCTTGTGTTCCAAATAATCCAAAGAATACATAACGGCATGGTGTTCCATGCTGCCTTGTTCTCCTTGCCTGTCCTTTTTATACTCCAACAGGTGATTGTCTTTGCTGCTTTCCTCTCGTCTTAACCCAGGAGAATACAAATCTTTACTTTCTATCTTTCAATGATATACCTATTACTTGGATGCGTTTGAAGGCCTCTATAGCTAAGTTGTAGAATAAATTATCTATTACAACTGGAAGGAACTCAAGATATTCTGAAGACAAGCTAAGCTCCATAGAAAAAATCAAATAAATTGTTTTTTTAACCTATAAAAAAGGATCAAAATGAAATGTTTCTTGTTGTTTTCATTTTTGTGTGGAAGTCTAGAAGAATATGTAAATGACGATGAAATTATGATTTATATTTCATAGGTTCCTTACGGTTCTACGTACTTACGTACCACTTAGTGCTACTTTAATACAAATATTACCTTCTAAAAAAAAAGCTATTACAACTGTGTTGTGAATCTGCAATGTAATAAGATATGATCAATAACCTTCTGCCACCTCCCTTAACACAAGCAACACTGACTCTCACCAACTTTCTCTTCTTTCTCATATTATCTTCTGTTAATAGTTCTGGTACCACACACCATGAAATGAAAGCAACCTTTTTAGGTGCTCTTAGTATGCCAGAATTTCCTTCACGCCTCCCTCCTTTCCCGACTTAAGTCTTACTTTAATGTGATTAAAGAATATGCTTATCAAGCTGGCAATGCCTTGTATTATTCATTACATGTAAAATTTCTGTATTAAACAAGTTTATCTATCAGATATTTTGGTCTGGAGGTGATAGTTACTAAAAATAGCTTTATTATCTGATGGATTGTCAGGAATATGATGTTGAAGATTCTATTATACCACTTCAGCCATCACTAGACTACACTGCACCAGAGCTGGTTCGAAGTAAGACATCTTCTGTTGGGTGCTCCTCTGATATTTTCAGTTTTGGATGCCTTGCCTACCACTTGATAGCTCGGAAGCCTCTGTTGGACTGCCACAACAATGTGAAAATGGTACTTGCAAATGTAGTTGTTTTTTTGTAACTTAATTACTGGCAATTGTGTGTAGCATCCTGATAGTATTGCTAGGTTATTCATATTAGATTTTGCGGGTGTTTGGATTGACTTGTTTAAAGTGTTTTTAAGCTCTTTTTTAATTTTTTGTGGTGTTTGGGCAAGATAAAAAGTGCTTTTAAGCACTTACTTTTAGGCTAAAAATGTACAAAATAAGCTAAAAGTTGGGTATGACTAACTCATGGCTTAAAGCCACCAATCATCTATACAAGTTGGGACCTTTTGGGTTAACCTACTCATTATATCTGTCTTTATAGAACTGTCTGCATGTGCAAGTTTTGAAGGTCTTGATTTAATCCATGCTATGTTTCTGCCCTAAGGTTATGTTGCTCGTATATGGGTGTGGGCACCCCACATGGGTGCAGATCTAGACCTCGGATTTGTTATTACCTAGTACAAGTAAATTCTTTGTAAGCACTTAATATTGTATGATAGAAAAATATTCTAGTGTCTTGTATAATAGCAAATATTCTAGTATGTGAATATATATATACTAGTAAAATTACCCGCACTTCGCGCGGGAATTTAATATCACAGAATTTTTAAAATAATACTTAAAACCTATCAATCATTAAAACTAAAACACTATATTGTCCTACATTCAAGATTACGTAGTAACAAATATTAATAATGTAAAGGAAAATGAAAATTATTACATATTATCATTTATCCTTAATAATATAAGCATAAATTATTGACTATAAAAATATATACCAGGATCTGTAACATAAGCAATGGTGTCAGTGAGCCACTCAACAGGAGCGAAGTACACAAATTGCTCCACAAATATTTAATTGTGAAGAAGAAGAGGAGGTTCAGAATTTTCGTTGTTTTAAAATGAGAGGAAATCCCTCTATTTATAGACAACAAAGGGTAGTGTGAACAAATGTTTATTGTGCCTTATCAGAAAGGTTACAACTATTTGGAAAGGTCACAACCTTTTATAAAAGTCACAACTTTTCATTAAAGTCGCAACATAAAAGTCGCAACTTTTCACAAGTCACAACTGTTCATAAAAGTCGCAACTTTTCATAAATGTCACAACTTTTCACGTAAGGGAAAGACTAATTTTGGAAATAAATAAATTAAAAGAGAATTCTGATTTGTGGTGGCGCCATGTAGGCGGGCCTAAAGTTCTCTTATATGATATATGATAAATGATAATATGTAATAATTTTCATGGCCGTATGTGCAGTCAAACTGTCAAAGCACCCAAGTTAGGTTTCACCAAATCTAGTGTGGAACTGTGGATTCCCACACCTAAACCCAAATGGAAACTACTCAAAAGTTCAAATATTACTCTTATGCATGTCTTAAGCTGCAAATGAACTTATATGTTCTTGTAGGGGAGAAAATGTGGTGCGCTCTTTGGTGTTGAGTTACTCATGAACCTTAGTTTCTGGATCAAATGGAATCCTCTCAACCAAAACTAGCAAACTTGTGACTCCACGACATTTTTCCTGAGTGAGACATCTTTTCTACCAAAATCGAAGATATTTGACAGTTATGAAAGTTAAATATAGTAGTACCTTGTTGCATAACCGATGTATTCACTTTGAGTTTGAGATGTAATCTTGTGTCAGATGAATATTGATGAAATATGACTTTGGAATTATTGTTGCTCCTATTTGAGGGTTTCTTTTGATAATAGTGGTCCTTGTACAACTTTCTTGCAGTATATGAATAATTTGAATTACTTATCCAGCGAGGCTTTCTCTTCAATTCCACAAGAACTAGTTCCGGACTTGCAGAAAATGCTTTCTGCAAATGAGGCTTTGAGACCAACTGCCATGGGTTTTACAAGTAAGCATTGCCATTGCCTTAATGTCTCGTGAGCTTTATGCATTTATATGAACCAATTTTGTTTATCTTTCTGGTAGTTTTATTCTATTTTTAAGGAAGAGGAAGAAAGAGTGAAAAAGATATTTCAGGAACCCCACAGCTAGAGCAGTCAAAACGGGCCAGCCCAGCCCTACCCCGCCCAAGCCTCGCGGGTCAAAGAATTTGATGGGATGGGGCGGGCCGGCCCTTCATTTCAAAGGGCTGTAAAATGGTCAACCCGGCCCAACCCCAGAAGGGTCAAGGGCTGGGGCGGGCCGGCCCTCTTTTTTTAATTTTTTTATTATGTCAAATCAATGTCACAAACAGTAACATTGTTTCAATAATTCTAAATAAAATCTAGCAATAAATATTTAAAGAAAAAAATAATAATCTCTTAAGTAAATAATATCTGAAAAACAAACTAGTAAACTAAAGAACACTTCTGACTAAAACTTTAGTTAGCAATACTTAATTACTTAAAGTATTTTGTTAAATGAAATCAAGAAACTAATTAATTGTTCAAGCCATAAAACATTCTATCACATATAATATAAATAGTGTCTACTATCCAAGTCTTATATTCAACTAAATAATAAAGAAATTCATGAGGTATGCTCCTTAGAAAAACTCCACAAACACTTATTTAGGTTTTCTAGTTTTTTATTCTTATTTTTTAAATATTTATTTTAATTAAAATTAAACAATTTGGCCCATGGGCCGACCCCGGCCCGGCCCCGATCAAGACTCAAGGGCTAAGGGCCTAAAAGGGTTGGGCTTGTAAGCCCCGATTTTAAACGGGCTTGTAAAATACTATCCCAATCCTACCCCAATAACGGGTTGGGTTGGGCCGGCCCCATGGGCTAAGCCCTTTTTGACGGCTCTACCCATAGCATAGAGCCTTGATAATTTAGAAACTAGTTTTATTTGTTACATTAGTGTCGTTTTCTATTATGTTCCGTTTTGACTGCAGAAAACATTTGGAAGCATGTAATGGAGTGCAATATCATCATGATTAGTCTTCATCCATTTCACATCTACATGCTATTCATCATCATCAACAACATATCCGGTATTATCCCACCTTGTGGGATAATACCGTGAAATATTGGAATATTGTAAAAAAGCTTGCATCATCTAAAGGGGGTTGTTTATCTCTAAACTTTTAATGATCAATTTTAATTGTGTGACAATACATACATGAATACCACGGAATTAGAGGGGGCCTTAAGCTAAGTTGCTTGAATACCACGGAATATTGTGAATTCTGCTTCGTCTAATCATAATGAAAAGAATAATTGATCATCCTTTTTTTAATGAATGACAAGAATAATTGATCTCAGGAGGAAAATGTGATTGAGAAGTGCAGTTTACATATTCCTGTTCTTATAGATATTAATTCAACTTATTTGAAATCAAGCTTATGCATCAAGAATTTAAATTTCATCAAAAAATTGTTTCTTTTCCTTACAGGTTCATCTTTTTTCCGTGACGACACTAGGTTGCGTGCTCTTCGCTTCCTGGATCACATGCTTGTATGGTTCCATATTTTAGCTTGAGCATGCTTGCAGGAATATATACTTTATGTTTGGCAACGGTACAGTGTTGCAAAATATCTAAAGCTTAGAGTATTGAGGATATTTTTCATTTTGTAGGAAAGAGATAACATGCAGAAATCTGAGTTTTTAAAGGCATTATCTGACATGTGGAAAGATTTTGACTCCCGTGTACTGCGTTATAAGGTTAGAAGGTTATCTCTGTTTATAAGTCATCTTTGATTTGCTAAGTCAATATTCAATAATGAGGTCATCTGTTGCTCAAATACTGCTATTAGTTGCTTTTGCAATTCTGAATGAGCGGATAATTATTACTTTTGTATTATGATGCAGGTTCTTCCTCCACTTTGCGCAGAGCTCCGGAATGTGGTAATGCAACCCATGATTCTTCCCATGGTTCTGACCATTGCAGAATCTCAGGTATTTTCTGGTTAGCATGTTAATCTGATGCTTGTATAGCTGTTACTCTTGACTAGTTTTTTTAATCCAAAGCAGAACTCCAACAATTGTTGTTACATTTTGAGTGTATGTTTGAATATGTTGCTGCATAGTATCATTCGTTCAATTATGTTATTCGCCAGCTGAATGAGATTTAGTCATTTGATAAGGTGGTGTAGTCTCACTCTTGAAGTAAACATTACTATGGATTCTCACTAGTTAATAACTGGACCTATTTTAGTGACTTAGAATGACTATTTAGGCTGTGAAGCAGAAAATTATAACGATAAACTGTTTCGGAAAGAAGCATGTTATGTATGTTATCAATGACTAGAACAATTTATCATGGAGTGTGTTTGTTCAGGAACATTGTGTATAATTTTAAACAATTGAAGAACACCCAATTATCGAAATGTAGATTAATCCGAGAGGATATCTTGAGAAAATTAAAACAAACTTTTTCTTGAGAAAGGCAACAATATTATATATACTATTTCAAAAAAAAAAAAAAACAATATTATATATAAACTTTAGCACAAAAATTCAAACCAACTTTTCCTGCCTAAATTCAGGAAAATGAAAAAATGCATGAACTGAGCTAACTAACCAACTGATTGAATTAAATATACAAAATAATCTTAACTCACCCACCCACGGAGCTAATCCTTTTTTGATGACCGTGGTATTCGGGCCAACTTTCGCGCACCTCGACTAATTCCACGGGATACCTGCCACCTCTCACCAGCAACAGGTATCCACCAAGGCTATGTCAGATGGGAAGAATCACCTAGTGTTTTTGTCTCCGCTGAGCTAGGATCGAACTCTCCATGAGATTCATAGTTGCATTACTTATAGCTTCATTGTTCGTGTCAATTGGTACATGCAAGAGATAGGCTAATTCAGCAGCCTTTTATTCAATTTCTCGTGAAGTAAAATTTTCATCAGTACAGGGATTCAAACCTGAGACCTCCAGAAGATGTTTCACATTATACATGTTACATTGCATATTCATGTCGGCATAGCTCAATCTTATGTTTACACAACAACAATAACATACCCAGTGTAATCCCACAAGTGGGGTTTGGGAAGGGTGATGTGTACACAGACTTGCCCCTACATTGTGAAGGTAGAGAGGTTGTTTCCAATTGACTCTCGGCTCAAGTAAAGCATAATAAATCAAGTATGAACTATGAAAAGGGAGAAACAACAGTGAAGCAGTCATGCTGGACATAATGTTTGGTTTTGCTTGCACTGTGTTTTCTCCTAGTAATAATGTTGTACTTCAGAAAAATGTTTCACATTGTAAATGTACTCTTGCATACTCATGTCATTTTGTTTGTCTTGTATTGTTCACCTTTCTGTTGTTGAACTTTTAAAATTAATTTGTATATTTGTACAATGAGTAATCCTAATTTTTCTGAGTGAATTACAATGACTCATCTTTATAGGCTGTGCCCTTATGATTAACTGATTCACTTCTTCTGTACATCTATTATCTATTAATTTTGTGCAGTATGACTAATTGAGTGATCCACTGCAGGATAAAAGTGATTTTGGGATATCGACCCTGCCAGCTCTTGTTCCTGTCTTAAACAGCGCGGCAGGTGAAACATTATTACTACTTGTTAAGCATGCAGATCTTATTATCAACAAGGTAAGATAAAGTTGCTGCTGCCTTTTGGTTGTTCGTCTAATTGTTTTTAACCTGTGGTAAAGTTCCTGGTCATTTTTTAACAATTGCAGCACATATATTCAACAATCCAGGTCATCTTTAACGATTGCAGTACATATATATTCAGACTTGTGATAGCAATTCCTCCTAAACACCTTACAAGAGGGAGGGAGAAAATGTCAAAATAGCAAGGAAAAGAAAACCAAGCTAGTCTATGAAGACGGCCAAATACTGTAGGTTTTCACTGCGGACAGTGCCAAAAGCTTTACTTAGGCCTTTTTTGATGCTAGGCAGCAGAAGGCATTTCTAGTTTCTTATTCCTACTCGTGTGTTTCTTGAATCCTTACCTCCTTGGTGCTTGTTTTGTTACTTTTTGATTAAAGAAATGTTTTATTAAATCAAAGAGTACCAAGACAGTGATGATCAATACAAAGATGTCTGATCCTCTACTCTTTCTGAGCCTGTAAGGAATTCAGCAGAATTAAAATCTCTGCAAACTCAGTTGCTACATTTCTATAACTCCAACAGTACAAATTCTGACTGCATCTAAACTTAATATGGGAAATGCGATCTTTCGTCCCCTCGAAAATCCTACTATCCTTGCACCCAAGGGTGTGTCCTAGTGGTTAATGAAGTGGTTGAGAATCCTTAGGTCTCAGTTCAAAACTTAGTGGAGACAAAAAACACTAGGTGATTCTTCCCAACTGTCCTAGCCTACAAAGTTACTTGGTACCTATTGCTAGTGGGAGGTGGCAGGTATCCCATGGAATTAGTCGTGGTGCGAAAGCTGGCCCAGACACCATGGTCATCAAAAAAAAAATCCTACTATCCTTTCCTCCCAGGTAATCCATGATCTATCCAATGTAATAGACCTCCATAGTTGTCTGAATCTCTTATTAGCCTTCTGTCCCAGCCATCAATTGGACAGCTGCTACAAATTTCTTTGCATCACCCAATGAACTCCTCAGAAATTTAGGAACATGTGCCATATCTTCCAATTGCAATAAATGAAAAGGCGACTGACTGATTCTGTCGTCTGTTCACGCATGCTACATTTACCACAGAGATTAATTCCTCTCTTTTGCAAATTATCTTGAGTGAGACGAGAATCATTTGTGGGAATCCATCCAGAACAAGCAATTTTGTTGTTTCCGAATTATACTTCCAGGGCCAGTATCAGTTCCCTGAATTATCTTGTCGAGTAGTTCGTAATAGGAACTGTATATTCTCCATCACTGCTGCTTTCCCAGAACAAGCTATCTTATTTGCCTTCAATTAAAATTGCAGTATTTAACTTTGTAGTAAGCTGCTTACATTCCCAGTCCCAAATCACTGAGTTTTCTTAGCTTGCGACAGTTCATTTTCTATCAATGGCCAAATTATGCCTATCATTTGAATGAGTATTTTCCAGTCAATTATCCACTCATTGATCTGACCTTCTTCCATCTCCAATTTCCAGACTTGTATGAGGAAATTCATCCCAACAATTTGTTGTTTGGCTCCATTTGGATACTCCATAAGGTGTCTTCACAAGCTTAGTACACTAGGAGATTCCAGTCCATATTTAACAGTTACTACCTTTTTCTACAATTTTCTTTTTTCATGTCGAACTTCCAATGCCATCTATGTTCCAAACTCTTTGTTGTGCAATTTCTGATTTCTAACTCCCACACCTCCAACCTTTTTATGATGAATGACTGTCGTCCATTTTACTAAATGGTATTTCCTGTTAACACTCCCATCTTCCCATGAGAAGTCAGATCTGATTTTACTTAGCTGCTTCACAATGTTTGTAGGGATTGGAAGCAAAGACATGAGATATGTCTGTATACAGTCCAACATACTAGTGTGATGAAGCTACGAATTTCGCTTAAGGGTGTTCAAGATTTAATATTTATGTATAAGTGGTAAATTTTGACCTACATACACTAAAATTCTCTATATACATAGTATAATAACTGACCACCCTTCGGTGTATGTGGCTCTTCCACTGCAACACACTATTCGCTAAAGTCAACCATCCCCAATAGATAAGTACTGCATTTTTAAAGGCACCAATTTCTTCTTGCATGTCTCGCCTAACTCTTGCCCCCAATTGTAGACCCATATATACTGTAGGAAGTTTCTCCATCTGGTGCTTGTTTTTATCATTGCTTTGTCACTCATCTCATCTTCTCATTTGTAGGCTAGTCAGGACCACTTAATCTCACATGTCCTGCCCATGCTCGTCCGAGCTTATGATGATACTGATCCACGTTTGCAAGAGGAAGTCCTGAAAAAGACTGTAGCACTTGCTAAGCAACTTGATCTTCAGGTAATTGAAGCCCTTTATTATATTTTTTTGAAGCAAGTAATGACAAAAGCCCTTTATTATTTCTAAGTGTCACATCAGTTGGTTGCCTGAATTGAGATTAATGTCCATTTATATCAAATTCACCGGTTCTACCCGGAAAAGGAAAGGAAAAAAGACGTATAATTGGTTCCTCTAATGGTAGTTTCTTAATGAAGTTTCATCACTGATGAAGATCTTCAGGCACCTGTAACTTGATTAAGAATGAGAGTGCCAAAATGAAGTGAAAATAGGGGATAGGGATGCAGGGTGGTTAGAGACATTTTTACTTAGAGCCCGTTTGGATTGACTTAAAAAAAGTAACTTTTTAAAGTGCTGGAACTTATTTTTAAAATAAGTAGTTATATGTTTGGATAAAAGTGCTGCAGTTGAAAAAAAAGTTGTTGATGTGTTTGGCAAATAAGTGCTGGTAAACACTTTTTTTTATCAAAATGTCTGAAATACCCTTTAAGCTGTTAACATGATAAAAAGTTGATTAATTTAAGGTTTATATACTTAAAAAAAAAATTAAAACAAAATTAATTTATGTTTTACATCCATAAGTAATAATATTTTTCTATCATTCACATATTTCTTACCACCTTATAAAAGGAATATAAATTCATATTTCAGAAATAATAATAATAATAATAATAATAATAATAATAATAATAATAAAATAATAATAATAATAATAATAGTAATAGTAATAGTAATAGTAATAGTAATAGTAATAATAATAAAATAATAAAAATATAGTTATAGTAATAGTAATAGTAATAGTAATAGTAATAATAATAATAATAATAATAAACATAATAATAATAATAATATAATAATAATAATAAAATAATAATAATAATAATAGTAATAGTAATAATAATAATAATAATAATAATTATAATAGTAATAGTAATAATAATTATTATAATAATAATATAATAATAATAAACATAATAATAATAAAAAAAAAATTGTAATAGTAATAATAATAATAATAATAATAATAATAATAATTATAATTATAATTATAATAATTCAATATGGGCAATTTGGAAATTGTATAAAAGAATAAAGGGCAAAAAGGTAATATACTTGGTCAACATAAAAGGGCTTTTAAGTTAAAAAAAAAAAAAGCTCCCCTCCCCTAGCTTTTAGCTTTTGGCTTAAAATAAGTCATTTTTGACTTAAAATAAGTCACTTTGATAAATGCCAAACACTCTAATAAGTCAAAAACTGGCTTTTAAGCCAGTTTGATCAGCTTAAAAGCCCATCCAAACAGGCTAGGGTTGAGAAATTTGTGAAAGGCATTGTACTTGCATAGAGTACCTGCTGTCTTCTATAATTTGGGCATCGTTATAGTCGAGTTACCTGGTACCTATTGCTGGTGGGAGGTGACAAGTATCCTTGGGAGTTGGTTGAGGTGCATGGAAGCTGTACTGGACCACTGTAATAAAAAAAAAGATGTCATTTTTATGGACAAGGAAGAAATAAAGAGATATTGGATCTTGGGCCATGGAATTGGAGCCAACCAGTAACCTACATGTTCTGCATATTAATGATGGGGTAGAATGTGATATGCAGATACAATTCATTTTTAGATTGAACCAGATATTTATTCGCAAATTCTCAAAAAATAATATTGAAGTTATATAGCATAGTCTAAGGAGTCATTTGGTAGAGTGTATAAGAATAATGCTAAATAGAGTGTTGTATTAGCAATGCATGTATTAGTTATGCTTGCATTAATTATACATAGATTTTTTTGTGCATTGTTTGGTTTGATGCATTAAAGATAGCATGCGTTGCATAAAAACATTTATTTACAAAGATACCCTCCACTATTATGGTGGAAAACATGTAAAAAAAGGTTTTGAGGGGCAATTGAGTCTTTAATCATGCTAATGCATGCATTAAACTATTGCATTGCTAATACCTAGAAAATTCATGGTATTAGTAATACACACCTTAATACACAATAGAGTGTATAACTAATGCAAGATTGGAAAAGAATACCAAACAAGGTACTAGTAAAACACAATGTTAATACATGCATTATTTTTCTTAACACACTCTACCAAACGACCCTTAAGTGGTTTTCTCTTATAAGTAGCTATAGAGAGAGTTGTAGCACAATTAGCATAATTAAGAGTTGAGAAGTAATTTTCAGTTTTTTAAACTTCCACGTAAATGAAAAAAGGGAGAATAAAAGGCAAAAATAGGAGAAAAAGATAATTGTATATGTTGGTAAAAGAGAAATGTCACATCATTCATAATTGCAGGCCACAATTATTTTTGTTGATCGGCATATTTTTTCATGTTAGTCATAAAAACATTCATCCTTTTTGGCCTTTTTGATCCTTTTCTTCTTTTCTTTCAATTCACTCGTTCTCTAGATTTTTATTTTCTTATCAAAAACTTGATTTTCACAATTAAAAGCTTCAATCAAGTAATTTATTCTTAAAAAATCATAAATAAATAAATTTGGCATGATGTGAGACTTTTGTTAAGTCATTTAGGTAGGAGATTATTTGTAAAAATGATTTTTTTTGTCAAACATAAATTCAGGTGTTGACCACAATTTTTTTAATTGATTGGCATTTTTTCATGTTAGGTTATGAGATGCCAGATTTATGTATTTTGATACTTAAAGAAAAAATTACCGATTGGAGCGTTTAATTGTGAGAATCAAGTTCATGATAAGAAAATAAAAGGAAAAATCAAGAGAATTGAAATAAAAGAAAAAAATCATGGGTCTTAGTGATATTCCACATCATCCAAATTGGAGTGAATTGAACGAAAAGAGGAGTAGTGAAAAAAACAAAAATGATGAGTTCTTGATCAAAGAACTATGTCAGATTATCATGCTATAGCCCACAATAAGCGCAATTAGTATATATAAATAGATATATTATATATTAAGGGTAAAAATTTATATAATGAAATACTAGCAAGTTTTGTTTTAGTAAAAAAATAATCAGTTGAACACCATTTTTCATTGCCGGTTGATACTTTTAAGTGTAAAACTTGGTAAAAGAGTCTTGTTCTTGGAGGGTACATATTGTCACGACCCAATTTCTCAGGTCATGATGGCACCTACAACACCCTACTAGTAGGTAAGCCTAACCCTTAGCCCGGAGCCATAAGCAACAGTCTACCAAGTGAAAGTCAACAACAGGAAGCATAATGCTTATAACGAATCGAAGAAAGGTAATCAATAGAAATGCAACACAAGGAACCATCCCAAGACTACATTAACCAGTAATTGAACATCTAATCAAAATAAGAGTACAAGACTTTTACAAATACTAGATAGGTTCAGGCTGTCTCTGAATACAATATAAAGACTATGCCTAGCCCAAAATAGACGGAAGCTGGCAACTCTGAGCGCCAGGAGCTTACCCTAGCTTAGAGACTCCAAGATGCTCTGCCCGACTCCAAATCAACGATGATAACTCATACTAGGATCTACAGGGAGTAGTAGAAGTGTAGTATGAGTACCAAAGACGGTATTCAGTAAGCATCAGCCTATTGAGCTCAAAAGATAACACAAGCATAAACAACAAGTAATAAGGAAAGCATAACACAAGTAACTAAACAGGAGATACTAAAGTAGACAGGCAATAAAGAATAGAAACAAGATACAAAGGGTAAGAAGCCGTGTCAAAAATGTACCTGGACCACAAACCAACAACCTACTCGCAAGCAACTAAGATACCAAGTCAACTACCTAAAGTTTGGAGGACCCACAACCATAATTCTGAAGTCAAAACCTATAAGCTAATAAGAAAATGATAACAGAAAACATAATATAATCAAACAATAACCTAATTAGACCCCATAAGCTCGGAAGTACAAACAACAAACATTAAACTGGCCCCCATAAACCGGAGGGTGCAATCAACAAACAAGTATGCTGGTGCTGGTGATAGACAATGCATATGAATGCAGGGTGAGCAGTAGGACCATTAGAGACCATTCGAAACCTCTAAACCCAAGCACCCAATAAAGGGCCCGCCCAGCCAGACAGTAGACTCCTAGGGGCACCAACCAAACTAGCACAAGAAAACCCGGGAGAGTAACTCCCAAGGGCACCAGCCCAATTAGCAAGAGTAACCCGGGGGCATCACCATCCGCCCGGCAAGACAGTAAACTCCCAGGGGCACTATCCCTGCTAGCAAGAGTAAACCTGGGGCAATCAATTAGACCAAAGCATGCAAGAAAGGGCGTCGACGCGCCGTCTAGTCAAGTAAAAGTGAGCACATCTCAAATGCCTCTAATATCTCAAGTAGAAAAAGGAGCACGTCCCTACCGCCTCGTAATCTTAAAAATCAGTAAGTCAAGTGATCCAGGTGGTACAACTCTTGTTAAAACCAATTTAGAATAAAAGCCGAGTAAAATAGTATCTCATCATGAACGATAAATATGCCAATGCATGAGCTAGGATCGAACCACAAAGTCTGTGAGAATGAACAAACAATGCAATGCATGCCATCACCAACATTCAAACAAGGCACTCAAAGTCAAATAAATATATAGCCAACCAACCACACTACTATAGAGGAGAGGATCCAATTGGTACTCGCACACAGTCTCGGGCCCAACAATATAATCATAAGCTAAATAAGGGTACAACAAGCCTACAAGTGACATGATCCCTCCTTCAGAAGCTAAAGTTGAATGATCGAAGTCTCTTTTAGGTTTAGTTGAAGAGATTGAAGCGAAGTCATCAATTCAACCATTCGAATGGTCTCCCCTAAGATTGACCTCTTTTCCAAATAAATCGAACCTCGATACCACATTCATCAAAAAGATATGGCCATCTCTCCACTAAACAAGCGAAGAAATCAAGAAGAGCTTGCAAATCAATAAAGGGGGTGCAAACTCAAGGGATGATGCTGTACCCCAATCATACCAATCCAGTCCTAGACTGAGCACAAATTGTGCTAACTTACGGCTACGACGAGCCACCAGGGTCTCAAGCA